CGGCACTCATTGACATTTTATCAATTGTCAAAACTGATTTTATTTCTTCGTGTGTTAAAGTTAATTTAACTCCGAGGGGGCTTGCATCCACCACTATAATTACGTCCTGATTGAATGGCGACAGTTCAGGTTTGCGTAGAGCAGAAATTCTAAATTCTTGGAGTAATTTGCGTTATCGACTACCTAAGTAACTTAAATATAGCACGGTGTCAAGTACTTACTGACTTCTCAGTCCATATTCTCACGCAACATTTCCATCAATTCAAACATAAATAGCTTAGAATCTTTTCAATTATTGTTTTACAGTTCACGTGGCGTAATTGAGGAGCAAGAAAATTACTTTATTTTTTAAACAAGCTGATAAAATCGTGCAACAAGTTTATTTGAGAAAGGAACAAGTGACATTGAATCACGACTGCCTAGTTATAAACAGACCTCAAGCTTGGTTCACAAACTCTAGAACAATAAGCTGTTTCCTTCACTTTTTTTAAGCCCGGTGTTTTGTTAGGCCTGGTGATTCAGAAAGCAGTGAGTGTTTATCCAGGATTAAAACTTGTTAAACTTGGCTTCAATATCTTCTGTCCTAAAGCGTGTGTTATGTTAAGGTTGAATGGGGATTTATCTCAGTGTAACTCAAAAATATAACTAACCCTTTAACTCCCAAGATCTGATTGTTAATTCTCCCATCGAGCTCTTACACATTTCCTTGTAATTTAGTTACAAGAATTTGGTGTTAGATCACGATAACAACCTCTGATTGATAAGTTTTAGTAATCTCATTACCTGTTTGTTGATTGGTGTATGGATATTGTTGGGAGAAGTTGCATGGAAATCACTTCTGTGAGTTAAGGGTCAAAACTCTACAACTAAGTAAAACATTTACTCTTACCATGGGTTACCTAGTTGTTTCCAGACTCATCAATGTTTTTGTTGCCTGCAGAGAAGTTTTTCATGGACGATTTGTATCTTCCACGGTTCTATAAGACACATGCTTACTTAATTTAATTTTGTTAATATATTGAATTTTTGTATTTTTCTAACTTGTTTCTAAATCATGTGAACATAAAAGAGACGAAAACCGTAAGATATGATTCTCAAAAGGTTGAAATAGAATCCGGGTGATATCGTAGCTTACGGACCTCACTTATTTACCGACCACTTATTTACTAGAGAGGCGGACAAGCAGGCGACAAAACGAAGGAAATACCTGAAACATCACAGAGATGCGACCAGTTGATAAGTCTAATACTTTAATACTGTATGAGTTAAATATGGAAAAGCCGTGTAAAGTGATGCAGTGATTTGACACTCGAAGAATGTAATGAGCTTGTTTGAAAAGGTTATCTTTAATTAGGCTGGTAAGGATATGTATATGTAACAACAGTTCCCCAGCTGAGCTGTAGGTCAGAGCCAGCAGGAAAGCCAACTTGGAGGCTTGATTTCAGTTATGTAGCAAGGTTATGGAAAACACTGACCGATAATTATTAAACAATGAACCTGGAAAATGTGTCGCTAACAAAATTGTAGGTTTGATTTATAGTTTGTTCGGATATGTTTTAAAGTTGAATAAATCATTCTAAGATAGGTAAGCTTAACGTCATATTATAACGAAGAGGGTATTTTATGTACAAAACGGTTTCTTGATGGTGCTGTGAATTTGTTGGGCAATATTTGATGATTTTCGCCAAAGAAAATAAAATCACAACAGAGCAAGTTTGAAAACACTTTCTGCGGTTTCAAGTTTGCCTTAGACTTGGACTAGCATTGATATCGTTTTTTCTTACTTTCTCTCAGAACTCCACTGCAAAAATTGCCTTCGCACTTTTTCACATTTCATACGAAGTTTTTTTTTATGTCACGGAGTCACAGCTTATGTAATAGCAAGGATTGTTTACTATGCATAGTGGGAAATATTTTCTCTCAGGGTTTCCTCCGTGGGTTTTTATTTATTAATTTATTTATTTATTTGTTTTCGTCTTTCGCTTTTCGTGCGGTAGGATTTTTGATTTGTGACTAGCCCTGCCTTCAACACTTTAACTCCCAGAAGTGATCAACATGTAACTTCTCCCTAAAATAGTCATTCATTATCCAGCAGACAGGTAATGAGAATACTCAAACCTTTCAGGAAGAAGTTGTCTTGATCTAACTCCAAATTCTTGTAACTGATTTACAAGGATATGTGTAGCAGCTAGGAGGGAGAATTAACAATCAGACCTTGAGAGTTAGGGGTTAAATTGTCCCTAAATAGAGGTTAGAATAGGCAAATATTGTATGAGAAAGTGAAAAACTTGACAGGAATGTAACTCAGCTCATCTTAGTTTGTACTATGTGTGGCAACTTGACATCAAAGGGCAGATAATTCAGTCGGCAAATACAAAGTCACCACAAATGTTAATCTGTTTCTTTACATGTAAGTAATTAACCATTATGGCGTAAAATCGTTTCCGTCATTTTCTTGAGATAGCAATCACTTCGAGTGACATTTCTTTCCCACTGGAATCTTCAGGATTACATGTCTATTGAAAGAAGGCAGCGGGCTACAAGAAATTAAATCCAATCAACTAAAATTCCATCGAATAACGCTGCCGGCTTTCTTTGCTGATCACTGGAATGGTGGTTTAGATTATGTGTCAGATGTTAAGGAGCTCTCCAAGAGACCACAACACTGAACCAATTAAAGAAAATTGTGAATTATGTAATCACTGTGCTCGTCTCCCCAATCAAAGTGTTCTTAATCAATACATTACGACTTTCTTAACCTATGCATGTACTTTTTAAGGCGAAATGTGGCAAACATACTAAGAGCTGTCTGTTTCATAAACTGTTTCTTCATCGCAAGAGACTGAGTTAACTTCAACACTTTGACACTGAGACAAAATTAACAGACTAGATGTAGACAAGGTTTAGTGATACTGTTGAGGTCTTCTTCTTATTGACTGCATTCATAGCCAGCGCACTTTAGCTAATAATAACTCCACTACAAGCCAGCAGAGCTGTGTTGATTATGTGCTCTCTTAAACTAGAATTTTCTTCGACTCAGGTGTAATAAAGCAACGACTTCTGGCCTGGCCTGTTCAGGAGTTTCTGTAGATAAACCGTAAACGATGGTAGTGCGGCTTGTAAAAAGAACCTCTCTTTTTTTTGCGCTCTGCGCAAATGAACACCCATTTTCTAAGTAAAAGCGTAGCACAGGATATACTTGTGGTTATATTCTGTCAACAAATGGACAATGACAAATCGAGAAATAAGATAATTGTCTCCTACACTATCTTAAAATTTTCATGGTATGGTGCCATACAGTGGGTATTAGTGCAACTAGTTCAGGATTTGCAGTATCTTCATGTCAATTTGACATAAGCGAACTTTCTAGTTAACAAAGTGACGTACATATATAGTAGATAAGCTGTAGATTATAGCCTGATCTTAGATCAATTTTTGTTTCTCCGATCGAAATCGGTCAACAAAGTTCCCTTTCAGTATTCTTAAATATAAAATTTGGAATGTATTAAAGGGATTAATTGAATGTATTTGATTACCTTGAGCCTCAATCGTTGTGGCTCTCAGCGGTGTATTGAGCCTGTCTGTCTCCGATGTCCTGTTGGGTTCTCACGAATGTCCTGTTTTCTATTAGTCGTGAATTGGATTGATTAGATTTCATTAAATTTCATGGTGAGTTTCATCTTAACCGTGCACGAAATTCAAAGACAACCACTGTACAATCCAAAGTACAGTTCAAAAACTACTTAGTTGAGGTGAAAGTTTAATATCTCACCAAAGTAGTGCTAAATGGTGTCTTTATCACATATCCCTTTTATACCCGGAATTATACTCGGGTGATTTATAGTTAATTCGTAGAAATATAAACCACTAAAGTAAATTGGCTCTCTTCACTTCAGGAATGCTCTTAAATCTATTACGTTAACTCACAATACAATATTGACTAAGACGTTCGCGACTGAAAAAAATTTCTGGAACGTGCGTGTGTCCTACTTCGGTATATCAGTCCAGTTGTGGACTCCTTTGGCAGTCAATAAGCTTCTCTACATAGCTTTCATAGGCGAAAAGTAACCTTCCCACTAATTAGTCGGGATTATAAAAAGACATTAAGATAATTACAAGTCTTTTATCTGATGGTATTTCAAAACCGGCAGTTTGTGGATCCCTAAGGTAATTACTATCGATTGGTGTATAAAGTTTGCGTGGCTGAACTCAAGTATGTTAATCCTATTAATTTTGTACTTCAAATATTTAAAGTAGTTTGTTTGAAGAACCACTGTGGGTAGGCGTTGTCGTAAAACTCAAATAATTGCTTTTTCTCCAGGCTTAAAAGGTTAAGTCAACAAAGAAGCAACTTGATAATGAGTCACGTCAAATTCAACAGACAAGTCTAAACTAAACATTGTACTCATTCCTTAATCCACCCTCCCAAAAAAACAGACATTTTGAATATGACAAAAAACCCTTATGTAACAGTTACTTTTTCCAAAAGATGCACATTTCTGGAAAACTATGACTTGCGCGCGTTTGCGTCACCTTCGCACAAGATCATAATAGAGAGAGAGAAAAGACATTTGGTGGTTAACTTGACATTGGAGGGAGTTTTGTAATTTAGTCCGCGATACCTGGAGGTTTTAGATTTTGCTGATATGACGGTAGTTTTGACATCGGATTGGCTCATACAGACTACATTTCGATATTTATCAAAACAAGACCTGATATTGCTTTGACAAATAGGGAAACTTATCTCAAGGGCTTGCTATTTCTAGTAAACAAGACCAGGGGAAACTCGTCAGTATATCGTTTCACTCTGTCAAAAGTTTTATCTCCTGTGCACGAGATAGTATAGTCCTAATTTGGAGTTTAATCACGTAACTATCGATATACTTAGACTGTCCAGTAGATCAGTATTGGGGGTAGATATCGCATATGGAAGACTTTGCCAAGTAACTCCGCATAGCGTGGATCATCTTGATATATTCGGAGATCACGCAATATGAGCGATGTCTTGTAGGAAAGGAACACATCACAACTGCACGCGAGCTCGGAAACCAGTGATTTCACCTTATTACAATAGTGCATCCATTCCATTGGGATATTTTGGCACAACTATAAGAAGGAGACCCGTTAGTTTTGGCTTCGAAAATCCTTTCCAAAGTCGAAGAAATTTTACAAACAGTCGAGAAAGATGGAGACAGCATCATGTCAACATGGCCTTTGGTGAGCTGAGAAAACTTCTTCCAACTTATCCACCAGACAAAAAACTCTCCAAGCACGAGATTCTTAAACTAGCTATGAAATACATCACGTTTCTGAGTACTGTGTTAAAAGACATGGATTCAAAAGAAACTGGAATTTGCTCTGATTTTGTTGTGGATTCTGAACTATGTTCTCCGAGTTCGAGCTGTGAAACTCTTGGTAGCGATGGAGGTTTGTCATCCACCTTGAATTTAGAACGTGTCAGTGTTGATTCACTTACATCAGAAATACGGATTGAAGAAGCCGAATGAAGGTCAGAGAAAAAACACATAAAAATATCAAACCAAGCTGGGTATATGATCAGGAGAAACTAATTTGTTGCTATAAATTTAGACATGGAGAGTAATGTTTGTTTTGCGATAAACGAGAGCATTTGCTCAAGTGGAAAACGGAAAGCGTAGGATCTACTACAACTCGAGTGTTTTGTTTGTTAATCGAAACCGTAAACACGGAAATCGGTTGAAGGTGTAAGATGTCCAGGTTATTTCTGAAACTTATCATCGAAAGAAAAACAAACTAACACGAAATCTGAATTACAAAGTGCTGCATCGTTGAATGATATTCTCCACCACGATCATGGTATTGGAAACGTCTTTCTAACTTTAAAACACTCGTCTTTAGTTGCCCGTGAAACGTTAAATTGAGTGGTTTTTCCGGAATCATTCAGTTTGTATAACACGTGCGTTACAGCAATAGACATATAAATAAGCATTTTGGGTCAATAGCAAATGATATCCGACTTCTTTTTTCGTTATCAAACTATAGAGATTTCTTATCACAGATTAGTCCAAGCTTTACTCCTGACTAAAGAACCTATGAAAATCACTTTCGGTTTTCAGTTTTGCGCGTATTCTGTCTGTTTAAAGAGATTTTCATTCACCATTACACTAATTGCGTTGTACTTTGTGAAAGGAGCTTTTGATAAACAACGATTCTAAACTTAGCTCAAAAAGGAAAACAAAGTTCGGAAAAGTACAGGCCGAACGCCAAGAATATTTTACTGATAACCTTAAGTTCAAGAATTTCCAAAATGGGAATTACCTATCTTCCAGATTGATTTCTTCGTATGCATCTTGTATACATTTAAGACTTGATTAGGAAGCCCTGTAATAAATCAGAGCACCTTGAGAATCACAAATTGTAAATCATAGTGTAAAGTTTCTAAAAATCTTGATGATCAGTACAACAGACGTGTTGGTATTGCCAGCTTGCAACTAATGTTCCCTCTTTCGCAAACCGCCCTCTTACCGCTTTTAATTACTTAAACATTAATTAATGGTAGTTGTCAACAACTTTAATTAAGAGATAGGCTAGCATATTGCTTCTCTCACTCATTCCAGATTTTTAAATCTATCTGAAACATAAGGAGGTAAATCAAGACGAACAAACTAAATTCATTCAAACCTATTCCAGATTTTGATGACGAGAAAGTAGAGAGAGAGACCGAGTTGAGTCAGTAGTTGTTGTAAAATAACCACACAGGTTACGTTACGGAATTTTCAGAGAGTATGGATCTCCACCACACATAGACAACGGACAGTCCCTTCTTTTCAGCGAAATTTACCAGAATCTAACCAAATTTACAATTCCCTGACCCGCACAGTTACATTTTTAATTATAGTAAGAAATGATTGAAATAATTAAGTCTTTTCTGAAATCGTGTCAGTTTTAGACAACATTTCCTTTGCAGATGATGTCCGTGTTCAGTACTTAATTGTGATGTTGTTTGTAGAAGTTTGATCATAATTGTTTTCTACTTTGTAAACAGTGAGTTCAGATCAGGAAATTGTAAAGTTCTTCACATTCTTTTCTTTGCTATTTTCTGGCACTAAGGTCAAAAGGTCTGGGACAATCTGCCATAATGATGGTACGACCTGTTGAGTTTGAAAAACGCAACGCAACCATGTGTTTTTTTTTACAAGTAAAACTAATTGAAGGTCATTTTCTTTAATTTCCTATTAAATCATACTAACGCCAATTCAAACAATTGAAACATGAGTTCTCCTAAATGCAACAACGTTATTGTAAGCGAGAGTTCATAATGCAGGTTAAGGCTTTTCTCTAGTTTAACAGGATGAAGGAAGCGCAAAATTGTATGGGATGCAGATGTTATTAAGTTGTTACATTACATTTCCGGAAACATCCATGGTCTCTAATAAATAACTTTCTGGCCTTAGTTGTTCGAAGGTCGGATAACACTATCCACTGAATAAATCTCTATCCGGTGGATAACGCTATATGTTTTGTTATCACTTATAGCGATTTATACGTCGGATAGCGTTATCCACCCTTTATACAACTGAACCCTGGTCTATAATGCGTTTTTATTAGATATAAGGATGTGCTACAATGAAGCTTGCTATCAAGAAGAAAATTTGGTTGCTGAGACAACTCTGCAATCTTAACACTCTGTGGGGGTGATTTTGCAACAAAAACTACAAAGGTTTCAACTTCTGATAACAAATTTTACCAATCAAAGACAGTACTTCACAGCTTTCAGCAAAAATGCTAAAGACCACTATCAGAAACTTGGAAGCAAATGATACACAGCCACCACAAGGTCATGGTTAGCAATTTGTAAGAATACTATTTTTTTCTTGGATTTTTCTAGGTACTTGTTCAGTTGTACACTCTTCAAAGTACTCCATGCTCTGAAACTTAAGCACCTGGTGATAAGAAATGAAATCATTTTTTCAAATTGAATTGCAAAGAGGAAAAGCAAGGCTATCCATTAAAGACTAAAAATAAAATTCATTGTATGGGGAAAGGGAATTTCTATTTTGAATGACTCTTCTTGATATTTTGATGTTCACCTTGACAAGATCCAAACAAAGGAAGAACACTTTTCAAATTAAGTCAATCAAGAAAAGACAATGACAGTATTAAGTACAGTAAAATGAAGTAAAAAACAAACAGACTTGCGCACTGTAAGGTAGTTGTAACAAAAACATCAAACAGCTTGAGTGATTACCTCATTCCCCCAGCTGGTCCAGTGAGGAGTTAGATTTCGAGCAAACATTTCCAGACATAATGAATTAGGTGGCATGTACTTTGAAAAGATTTCTGATGAAAGAAAAACAAAACAAAAACAAGGTTTCATAAATTGTAGATAAGAATTGGTACACTGTATGTGGTCATTACTGTGGAAAATATATAATATAGTCCTCTATGTAAAATATTAGGAAAGGATGTAAGATGTACATTGTAACTGTCCTTAACTCAAAGGCATTTTTAACTAAAATAAGGCCTACCAGGCAATATAATGACCATATACACACATTCCTATTTGCTTAGATCAAAGAAAAAAAAATTTAAAAAAATCTTTTTTAATTTTATTGGCAAAAAGTGTCCTTGGTATTTAAATTTGTTGGCTGGACACATATCTTTTCATTAGTTTTCTGAAATTTTATGATATGAAAGATGAAAAAGAAACTGGGAATATCTAAAACATTATTTAGCTTCATGCTTCAGTTCGGTTTTTCCATAGAGTGTACTCCATGAAACATATCTGCTGTACCTGTGGTAGTTATCTTGAGGCAGCTATACATGATTAGATTAGTGCTTTTAACAATTTATAAGTTAGGAGAAGTTTAGCTCACCATGCAGAGGAGGCTTCCTGGAATGAATCTTACAAGGAACACTGCATATGATCTGATGATAGGGTAACAACTCACAAGGTTTAGAATCTGGCTCTAGCTCTTTAGGTTCTGATTGCTCACTTGAGATTTTCAAACTATTTTTCGTAATACCAATACTGCCTTTCTGCTCCTGCTCCTTAACCTTTTGCATAGCTTGTTGTTTTTGCACAACCTCAGTTGGACTATTCAAGCCCTGTGTGATGTCCATTTTATCTTCATGATATACTCCTTGACAATTTAACCAACAATTTCTAGGATTCTGAACTCCTGTTTCACAATGTCTACTGTCTTGGCTGGTGATTTCCCCAACTGATTTATATATTGATGGTGGATTCCACTCAAGTGAAATTGCCATAGCTGTATTTTTATTTATATCGCAGGTGTATTCTGTCCTGATATCATCATCATTATCACTGATCTTTTTCCTTTTAGTTGGAAGTGAAAATTCATTGAGAGATCCCCTATCAACAAAGGCTGATTCCATCTCCTTTTCAGAAGAGTTTTTCTCATTATTTATGAGGCAAGATGACCTCAGACCATCCATCTTTGGATTAAAACGTCCTAATAACAGTGGCTCATATGGTTTTTTATGAGGTGAATCTAAATCAGTCACCAGTTCTCCTTTTCTTGTTACTTTAACCCAGTACCACTCTGCCATTAGCTCCATGGACCAATGAGGAAAGAGCTCTGTCCTTGTAAACCTTAAGTACTTCTGTTTGTTGGTAACCCAGATCCCCACCAGAGCACCAGGGGCAAGAAGGCAAGGGACTGGGAGTGATTTTATTTGCCATAATGACATGAAGGAATACCTTGAAAAGATATATAAAAATTATGTAAAGATTAACAAAATAAGACTTCAAGCCATACTAGGTTGATGAAGGCCTGGCTGAGGGAAGAGGAGCAATGAGTAAAGTAAAGTATGGTTAATATTATATTTTGGAAGGATAAGGGGCTTTTTCTCTCTCCATTCAGTAATATTGTATGACTGTTAAACTCAACTCTTTCCAATTAGGGAGCAAGCTTGATCTGGAATGGTGCACAATTTTTTGGTTAGGGTTAGCCATGAAAAAAGAAAAAATGAAAATCCTCTCACTTTGAGCCACGCTTCGCAGATTTGTTGAACCATGGAGGATCCAACACCAGCAAGTTATAACCTCCATAGCATTGGGCTGTTGAGGATGCAAATGATAAATATATGTCTGAGTCATTACTAAAATATTGAAAAAGCCAAAAAGCCACTGCTTTCTTTTGACCCTTTCACTCCCAAGATCTCACTTGTAATAATATTATCCTTACTGTCTGCCATACTATTCTTATGATGTTAGTTTAGAGGACTTGGTATTGGTAGATCAACCAATAATCACCCAATTTATATTTTTCTTTATTCTCATCACTGGTCTGCTTGAATTTGTATTGATATTGTAAGGAGAAAGTCTGACTTTTTATTGACTGAGTGAACAGCAAGGATCGAAATGCACCAATCAGAGCTGTTGAAAAACAACTAATCACAGCAGAGCATCATGCTTTATAAGATCATGCATGACCAGTCGACCTTATTGCCTGAGGAAGACTAGCAGTATGCAGTCGAAATGTTGTGATCTACATCATACGTGACTACATCGTGAGACAAACAAAAAACTTAGCTTTTATTGTTAAGTCTGACCTGGTCACCAAAGGGAGTTATAGACTGAGTTAACTAGGGTTAACATATCATGGTTAAACTAACCATAATTAACAAGAGGTCCTAAGTTCTGTGCATCAGACATCAAGAAGTTGCAATCTGCAGGTAAAATGTATTTCTCCCCAGATACATTCAAAACTGTGGGTTTGCTACCAGGGTAATAAATGATACGGTTCAACAGAGACTTTTCACTTGCAGTGAAATCACCTTTGTACAAGAGAGACATGGTTAATTATTTATCAATTTTCTCAACAGGTAATATCTACAAAACTATTAACATGCTGTAATATTATATCATCTAACTTACTTTCCTAAAACAAAGACAACAACATTCATTTTAGGCCATTCGAGAGCTTGTCAAAAGGAAGGAGGTATGGTTGAACCTGTATTAAGGGGCACTGTATGAAGTAGTCACCCTGTATTAAGGGGTTGATTTTCAAAGTCTTAATGACCAACTGTAATTTCCACCTCTATTAAGCAGTCATGGTCACCCTTTATGAAGTCCTAATGGCCTGTTTGTATTTTTCTCCACCTTTCAGTATCAAAAGATCACTTGAAGCACATCCTCTCAAATAAAACTAAGAATAATCTTTCAAGTAAAATTTAATCCATGTTTATCTCCAAAATTGATGTTAGTGGTGTTTTTGAGTAAGGTTTGTTAAACTATGTGGTCAATTATGGCAAAACACGGTGTATTTATCATTTCCTTTAATACTCCTACTCTGTGGAGCCTTTATTAAGCAGTAAATCAGTAAATTAGTATTGAGTGGTCACTCTGTCATTAATGGTAAATGACTGCTTAAGATAGGTATTGACTGTACTTCCAGAGGATAATTATCTGGCTGCATTATCTGATTAGCTTAACCCTTTAACCCCCAGAAGTGATCAGTATGGAACTTCTAAAATATCCATACATCATCCAACAAACAGTCAACAAGATTACTCAAACTTATCTGGTAGAAGTTGTTAACTTAAGCTAACACCAAATTATTGTTACTGATTTACAAGGAAATGTTTAGCAGCTGGGGGAGAGAATTGTTGTGATCTGGAGTCATAACTGGTAATCATTGGGTTGTTTAAGAGGAAAACATGCATTTTTAAAACAATAAACAACTGTGGAAATGAAAATTAAGTCTTGGATTACAATTTACAAGAGTAAAAAATAACATTTGATGATTAAAGGTTCCAAATGATCACTGGACAGACATCTGCTGTGACTTTGAACATCAGTTGACAGTCCAGAAAAGTGCTTGCAATCAGTAAAAGCTAGTTCTGTAAATTCAATACTATTTTAAAAACTTTTAAAGGGTAATAAACCTTACAAATTGGGATCATTTGTCAATAAGGAGGACAGCACTTTAGTCTTCATCAAGAATTGAAGTTAAATAATGTCTACCAGTCACAGATGTTCTACTTAAATTATATATGCTAACTTGTTAGAAGTTAAGCTCATCGATGTAAGTGGCACTTCTGTCATGAAGAACTTGTTTCACTCATCCTCAATGATCTCCTTTCAATTGGCAATTATATATTGATGTGTCAAAATTTGTTTCAACAGTGGCAAGTAGATCTTGGAGATTGAAGCATTTAGAAGAGGTCACAGTTTTTCTGGTAGAAACTGTCTAACTAGTTGACTAGTTCTATTGTGGTGCAAAGTTTACCTGACTCTAAATTACTTTGTTCACTAAGATCATTTTCAGGTAGAAAATAGCCCATATCCACACCAATGTGCACAAGCTTCTCTGTTCCTGTTGCAATTGTGTCTTTTATCTGCATTAATCAAAGATTAATAGAAACAATGAGGCTAAAAGCTTTGGTGTGAGATGTTGTAAACATTTTTGTGTGTCAGTGATTTCATGGGAAATGCTGAGGCTTAATGTTTGGTGCACAAGTCACTGGACTTAGAGGGTCTGGGTTTTAATCCCCAATGGGGTCATTGTGTTGTGTTGTTGGGCAAGACTTGTAAACACCAACCTGCCCCACCCTGAAAATTGTAAGAGAGCCACACAAAATGTTAAGTGGAGGGAAGGTGGAGGGGGTAACCTGAGATGGACGGGCATCCCATCAAGGTGCGAATAGCAGAACTCCCAATCAGTTCAAATGCTGCAGCATTCAGCAGTTGAGTGGGATTCAACCTCTGAATGCTGAGCACCCTTCTATCAATAACCATTTCTTTGAAACTCTCTCTACCATTTCTTCAGTTTTACCTCTTCACTGCCACCAAAGGCTCTTTTAAGGTTGAGAGATTGAAACTTTCACATCTTAGTATACTAAGTTTTTAAACTTTTTTATCAACACTTTTTTATGGAAATCCTCAATTTGCTTCTCAGAGTTGTATTTGATGTTCAAATCCTTTGTTTATGTTTTCAAACCTAGTATACTCATCTCGGAAAAGCACTTTTCCAGGATGGAAACTTGACATTGTTCTTTAAGGTGCTTGTCTTTGACAAAGGCAACTCGACTATAACTTATTTTTTTTTAATTTGAACAACACCACACATGTACATGTTGGATAATTTCCATTACCATGCGGGAGGCTACAACAGAGTACTGATTAAGATGATTCTTTTTTTCCTCAAGAAAGAACATGGGAATGGTGATGATGTTCACCAACAGAGGCAGAATCCTGTTTATCTTTTTATATTTAATAATGGACAGCGTGAGCAAACTTGGCATGTCGAGGGTTGGGAAGTTGAATGTTTACCTTGCTATGGTGTGCAGCAGCATCTAATTCTTCCTCTGTACGAACAACTTGGACAGATTTCTTCCGCTACAAAGGTAACTGCAAGTAAGTCACTATCTTACAGAAGGTTACGATTGATAGATGAACGGATCAAAATGAATCAAAACACGAGGGAGTCGGATACAATCACTATAACAACTGTATTGTGCAAACTTCTAAAATGAGAGGATTACATTTACTTAGAGTGTTTCCTGGTGGGTGACTATTTCACATAAAAACAAACGTTACAGAGCTTTCATCGTTGTGCAATTCTTGATTTTAAAAATTAAGGTTCGTCAGATTATCTCAGACTGCTTTCGCTGTTTCCCTGATCTCAAAACTTGCATGTACCTTTCTCCTTTTTGATCCCGATGAACTGCTCTTCGTTGAAGTTCTAAAATAAGGCTCGTAAAGAGCAAAGAAAGCTTCTTTACATGACAACGACAACGATGAAACTGATTCAGAGATACTTTTCCTGTGATCGACGAGAAATCCACATTCACATTGTCCGATCACAGCCATGTTTGCTGATCGCCTTATTGGACCGTCTGTTTATCATCAAGATTGGAACCTGGGTCCGAAGGACGATAAGTTTTGTAGCAAGGGCTGGGTGGTACAATTCTCAGCCTGATATTTTTCCGATTTCTGGCAACACAGTAGGAAAGATTTCTCACACAGAGATCAACGATAAATTTCATATTAAAACATCTCGAAATCCAAAGACAGCCTTTGCACCTTTCAAATCACCTTCAGAGCCACTTTCCCCACCCCCACTTGTTTACAACTGACTTCTTGACAACCTTTACTTTCTCAGACTTTTAATGATACCTCATAAAACGTGTACACTTCATTATTTCAACAGAATTTCAATACAGATCCTCTGAAAAAAGAGTTGCATGGGTGATGTGAAAAACTCGGGACTTGTTGTGGGTAATTTATGCAGTGGGATGAGGACGAGATAATGTTTAAAATTAATTATACATTCACGTTTGTCTCACTCTTCAGGTCAGTGTGGCATGTGGTTTGTTGCGCTTCTCCGAACAGAAACCCGACGTATGCCACTTACTTCTGCGCTCAGAACCAATTCAAAAAATATTTTCAAGCCGAATGTTCCCTTCTCTAAAGTTCGGGAGCCGAATTTGAAGAACTGAACGAATTTTGGCAGAATAGATATGACTTGAGACGAGGTAAGCGAATGAATCACTGTTTGGAGGGAGTTGTTGTTCAAGATGCTAACGTAAGTTTTCTGACTTCGTTTGCATTATTCGCTTTTGAATAAAGTACCTCGGCTGTTGTATTACCCTGTCCAAAGCTATTTTATCTATGTAAGCTTTACATCGTCAACCACTCGGGTATGTCTTTTCCCTTTCGGAGCAAGACCTTGTGCCCTAAAGTTTAATTGATTGGTAAGAAACCACTAAGGCTTACGAAGATTTAATAGACTTAAAATGAGATATTCGTTCATCTTTAAGTCTCAACGTTGCCTAAAGTTGATGAAGAAATCTCTTGCACAATCAAAGGAGCTCTGTTCGTTGCATTAATTGCATGCTCTGTTTGTTCAGGGCACTTGATCACTGCAGTAGAATTTATCACATAAGGCATATGAACCCAAAAGTTAAAAACAAACATTGGTTATCTTGTTTACGTTGGTTTATTAGCGATTTAACCTGTAATAGTTTGCAAATTATAACAGCCGAACTACATCATATGATAGAGACTGAAATTACTAATTTACAAAATAAGTTATTCTCGTCTTATTTCTTTAAATTTGTCATCGCAGGAATTGAAGCAAAACAACCACTATGCGAGGTCAGCGAAGAGAAGAGAGATCCCTCCGATGAAATGTAAGTATCTCTCACTCTGTAACTTGTTGGGTTATTTCTGAAAATTTATGATTTTACAAGAAGAAAAGGTGATTCCACTAAAGCAGTTAACGTAATAGAAATCTCGTTGTGCTTTTCCTCTTCTATGACTCGACAGCGGCAATTGAATGATTTTTCCTATTTTTGGTCAATTTTACGGTTTTGCTGTCCTTTTTAAATGCGAGGGAAAAAAACATGCGGACAGTGAAAACGGCAGGCAAAGGTGAGATATAATCACTGAGAAATTCGTGCAGGGAAAATTTGCAAAACAAATTTTATGCAAAGTGAAGCCCGGAAAGAAGTTCCGGGATTACTTTCTTTACTACTCAAGACCGAAAAAAAAAATATATGAACTGGTATTTTCAGAAAGGTATATGCTTCTATGGGTAATATGAGAAATCCCTGTCCCGTTGATTTTGTTTCGGTGATTAGTCCTTCATTGATGGCGAGCAACGTGTAATGAATTAACATGTTAATTTACAGGGTCCAGGGAAGGAAATGACAACTGGAGGATCAGAAACTTGAAAAGGAGGATTGGAAATGAATGGGTTCAGAAAGAAATAGTTTAGAGAGATGCAAGAGGACTTAATTAAACGTAGGTTGCTTTTTTTTTAATTTGTTAGGATTTAGAGCATGCATACAGTCAATGACAATGAAGGCAAAGAGAACGTTTTGGCCGAAATCAACTCGACTTCTATTGTTGCTCGACGTCATAGAATTATATTCCTTCTTTATTTCTTTCCGAACCAAATTTATAGGTATGTCTATAAAATATTCAATCGATGTGAAGTCAATGTTACAGACGTTTTCTCTTCTTTCTTTTTGTTGTTGCTAAATATCAGGAACAAGTTGTTTCAAAGCCTATTCTCAAACAAACGGGTACTTCTGGCATATCTATCATTTTTTTGCCTTTCATCTCGACTTCAACCAGATTACCATATGATTATTCAACACTTAACAAAGAGAAAGAACGATTGATAGAGTAAAAATAAATTTGAAATTAAAGAATGAAACACAAAATGGATAAGCGATTTTTTCCTCCAAGGATTCCTAAATTCTACCGAAAGAACCTGCTTTGAAAATTGGTTCCTGATATTTATTTAAAATGCTCAGAAACGAAAAGGGGCCTGGGTGCAAGCTAAAAAAGAAATCACTTCTATCTCACCTATCTGTTTAATTCCAATTGGACGAGGTTGAAGAATTTCTCTTGGACGATTTATCCACTTTGATAGAGCAGTTTTCAATTGACTATCTAAAAAACCCAAACCAAAGTAATCACGACGGCCAATTGTAACAAACGTTTACTTCATCATTAGCCAATGAGCACTCAAAAGAAAAACAGGCAAACTATCAAAAACGCGGGAAAACGCGGGCGACCAGGTCACGATTAGTTTACGTTTTGCGTCTGATTGGTTAAGAGGATAGCGCCGGTTTTGCTGACCAATCACAGACCGAATGGATGCAAAATCTCCAAACTTCAAGTGGATAATCAAATTAGTCAATCTCGTTGGTATTTTATAGGCAGTTTGCTCTCAGGTCCCTTCTCGTTTCTGAATTCCTCTTAGTGTAGTGTATCTAATGTTTCTACTGTATTTTTGGACTGGAGAAGTTGACAAAGAAATTGATCGAAATAGAAAAGGAAGTAATCACAGCATGGCGCATTTCACTTGATTTCTAAAAAAACCTTTTTTTTTCGCAAGATTTAGCACGTCATTGGTTTTTTTTTTATCGATTTCTGCTTTGTTACGAATGGATGTTTGACACAAAGAATGATTGGCTTAAATGTGTTTGAGTTCGATCAAATTACATTTTGAAAGCCTCAAAATAAATTTATCACTCCAGATTACTTCCGAGATGAAAAGACCAAACATAATCAGTAACCAAAGGAAATTACGTTTTGTTTGAGCTGGAAGATTTTCAAAGGCATGTTTTTTTTTCAAGTGGCAATGGATTATTTTTAATCAAGAAAGCAGATTTTGAATTTAAAATTAATATTTCTTACTTGATTAGGATATTAGGTTGCTTATAATCAGAAACTGCTCAGAACAAAAACCGGAAGTTTATTTGATAAAATGATAAATTATAATCAGAAGTTGAACCAATGACAACTTTATTTTCAAGTCAAAAATCAAAAAACTTCGGAGGTGTTTTCGGGTACTTAAACCTTAGAGAGAACTTAAAACTGTTTCATCTCCAACAATTTACTTTTAGCCATAAGTCGTTAGTCGTTGCAATGTTAATCACTCCAACCCTCCCTCCCCCCCAAACTCCCCCCCCCTCTAATGTTACAGTACGTAAGGAAGTCATCCTAATTGCAGCATAAAATCGGCTTTTCAAAACGTCCAGTCTTGTGTTCTTTTAAAAAATTGTTTCACAAGCTTGGCGATACTGTTTGGGACACTGGTTATACGTTTTGGTAGAGAAATTACGGACATCCTGGACCTCTGGTTCACACAGAGGTTTTTTTATAATCCAATTAACAATGTAGGTGACATTTCGAAAAGTTTGGTTTGCTGGGTATTTGAAGAGCCCAGCCGCGTGACAAACCGCTCCGCCACTTCTGAAGATAACGCTTTTGTACGACGAAACTCTTACCCACTGAGATGACTGAAACACCCGTTAAGCCACGCACGACTACACTGATTATTCTGCACACTAAGTAAGCTTTTAATAGCATTTCGCGTATCATGCAACCCTACAATTGGAGTGTAATTCGCAGACTGAACAAATGCGATAGCGTTTACTAAGAGAAGCTGGAGATAAGGACGAACTAATTTAGCCAACAGACAGTTAAAAGAACTTAACACCTCGAGACACAAAACTAACCAAACGCCAACTTGTGACCGACGAGAAATGTTGATGTTAACAACCACTGACACTTAAAAACGCCAATTTTGCAATTTGTTATACTTTCTCGAGTGACAAAGGGTAACTTTTTGAAAAAGACATTTTCAGTTGTTAGAAATTCCCGGTACTTTTTATGAAAGGCTGTAGCTTTCTCTGTTAGAGAAATACTTCTCTTAGTATAATGATCAAAAAGGATTTTCTATTTGTAGCAGCAATACATTTTCGAGCAGAACAGTAATGAGAAGAGAGAAAATTATCACCTTAAGGATATTGTTTGATTTAACACCAATTTCTTGAGGCAAAAATTATAAGAAATGTACGACAGACAGCGAAGAGAATTTATACTTTGATCTTGGAAGTGAAAGGTTATTCAGGTTTGAAACTCAACTAGAGGTATTTTGCTTAGAAAACTGAAACTGGAAAAATGAACAGCTGCACTCAAGTAGTTTTGATGAAGAAATTGAGGGGTCTTTGCAAATGAAAAAAATTTATACAAATGAGAAATATCCAAGACTTGACGTTAATGCGCAAAATCAACAAATATTAAATAGAAATCAAACTTTTTCCATTTCAAACAATTTACTTTCCAGCTTTGAAAGGCTTTTCGAGAAAATTTGGACATGAATTTCATAAGGATTTATTCCAATTTAAGACAGCTTCTGCTGCTTCTAGAAATTTTTTCAGATGAATCGTTACAACAGCAGAAAACCCCGGTGCAAACTTTTAAGTGAACTTACTTTGGAGAAGGAATGAGTTGGATTTCCTTTTTTTTTCATCAATTATTAGCGAACAGAGTCAATTTCCCTTTTTTAAATTTATCTTGAAGTACAGGAGGAAAATTTTCTTTGAGTTGCAAATAAGAAAAGCATTCTAGGAGAGTTCAATTTTCCAACTACTCTTTCTTTAGGAAATGCCAAAAGTTTTACACATCAAAGCAAGTATGATACAAAAGAAACAAAAAATTTGGAAATTGAAATGAAATTTAAAAAATGTCGGGAGCTGTCGTACGAAAATTCTTTAACTTAAAAAATACCATTTACTTTGAAAATTATGTGCGTCGATAGGTGTATCATTGCTGTCTCTTTAAAGGTCTTGATCCATAGATCATGTATTTTTCATACCAAAAGTGTTTATCGACAAAACAGAAGGTATTGATATTAATTTGTGCAGCAAAATATTCGCTCACCAACTTCAATAACGTTTTGAGCAGAAAGTTTCATAGCATGTTAATGTGAGATTCAAAACTTAATGGAAAAGTATGTGGCTACTTTCTGTAAAAAAAACTTACCTTTCCTTTCAGTAAATTTGTGTTCTCCATGAGTCGTAATGAATCGAAAAAGAACAATTTCAATCGTAAATGAAGGTGTTCCATTTAAATCACGTTTGGATCAAAAAGGTTTTGAACTATAAATAATCAGAGCTGTTTAGCTGCAATCACCGAAGGCATCGACTTTTTTTTTAACCCTGTGATGCAAAATTAGGATCGTCTACTGTTACATGTTACATTATTTCTCAAATTTACATCATATAAATAAAAACTAACCTTTAAATCTGCTTTAGATTTCATCTGGAAGTTGAAATTGTAGTTTTATAAACGGATTTGGATTAGCGTATTGTCAAGTGATATGATTTGACCACGAGTTCATTCATTCTCAGTACAGATAGGATTTTACTACACAAGGTTCATTCTAGAAATTTTCAGATTTAGGATTTTTCACTCTAATCTCCAAAATATGAGAAACATGTTATGCTGATTCGGTAGTCAAATGAAAGTTCGTGTCGCGGAAGTGTAATTTTCTCAGGAGAAAGGATGGGATCTTTTTTTACAGTTCTTTTAAGTTCGTTGCAATCAAATGAAAGTTCGAGTTTAATCAATGAGAGTGCAATTTCATAACACTGAATAAAAAATATCGTTCGGTATCGCTTGTTTACTTTTGAGGAAAGATGCTGAAGCTCTTGCTGTATAAGGTCGAACGTTGAATACTCTAGCATAATTTTGGAATGATTACTCAAAGGCACAGCTGGAATCAGTAAATTCGTTGTTCAATTTTGTATTGTGTGTGGTTTTCCAAAACACTCCCTTCGAGTCTTCAAGAAATATGAATGTATTTCTATCTTGGTACCAAACATTTTTAACTGTCGGTTAATAATCGTCTTGCTTTCCTACAAATGTATTTTTCTTGTTTCTGTATAGAGCTTTTCCAGTACGTGTACAATTTCCAACAAACTTTCCGTACCATTTGAAAAAAAAAAAAAAAAAAATTTTGCAATTTTTTCTAATTTTGGTCTAATTTATCAACAGCAATATACGACATTTTGTTTTCGTTATGTGGGAAATAATTTTTTAAGAAAAAAATTTATAAACAGGATTGTGTCCTTTCCTTTTTCCAAAACAAACATTTCGAATTATGTTATTTAGTGGAAATCAATGAAATTTAATGTAACTAATTATTCTTCAAAATTACAGTTGTTACGATAATTGTTTAAGATTACGCGAACCTTTCAGTGTCAAAATTTCCAGTCCAAAAGTATACTTACTGTTAGATTTGTAAACCTTCATAGATTAATCAACACTGTGGCTTTGCGGTGTAGCGCTCACCCTTTGGCGTTGACGGCCATATCCCCGCCATCAATTTCTTGAAGTTATTTGTTAATATCTTCCTTCACTGATGCACTTCATTTACTTTTTGGATGAAAATTTCTTTTAAATTCTAGAAGCCCAGTAATGCATTTCTGTAAAGTAAAGAGATTCATCACTGGGCTTCTAAAATGTAACAGAAATTTGCCCCTTTGAAATAAAAAAAAAAGAAAAGAAGTGGATTGATGGGGCCTTGAGCCCCTAGTGATGGAAGTTGTTAAGAAACAACTTAAAGAGATCGACGGCGGGGATATGGCCGTCGACGCCAAAGGGCGCACGTTATACCGCGAGGCCACAGTGACGTTGAGTAAGATCTAGGCCAAATTTTAATTGATATAGGTTTGGATATATTGTTTAGTGTAAAATACTTATTAAAATTCAGCATAAATAATACACTGGGGTGCAAAAACGCGTGCACACAAGAATCAGCATAGACAGAAACAATATAATTTTCACAAACAGTAAATTATTTGTCAAAACTATTTTTAGATTCTTACGAGTTGTGTTGATTGTCACAGAAATAAAACTATTGTTTAATGACAAAAATAAAATAAACAAAAAACCTTTGACTACGACGATGGTCGTAGTTGTTTCTTCGTTTGTCGATTTCTTATAAATTACTACTTTCTTAAAATTCGACACTCCTGTTCTTATTACTGTTTAACTTCTTTTCTTACTAATGTTACACTTTCTTCAAATTCGACTCTTCTTTTCCGACTTCAGTTATACTTAGACAAAATTCGACTCTTGTCTTCTGACTAATGTTAGACTTTCTTAAAATTCGACACTTCTCTTCTGACTAATGATAGACTTTCTTAAAATTCGACACTTCTCTTCTGACTAATGATAGACTTTCTTAAAATTCGACACTTCTCTTCTGACTAATGATAGACTTTCTTAAAATTCGACACTTCTCTTTTGACTAATGTTACACTTTCTTAAAATTCGACACTTCTCTTCTGACTAATGCTACACTTTCTTAAAATTCGACACTTCTCTTCTGACTAATGCTACACTTTCTTAAAATTCGACACTTTTCTTCTGACTAATGCTACACTTTCTTAAAATTCGACACTTCTCTTCTTACTAATGATAGACTTAGACAAAAT